AAAGAGATGTGGCTGCTGCTCAGTTGCAGCATAGAACACTGCAGGTTTTTCTATTGTTCTTTTTGTCTCGGGCAGCCGGAGCCGACCCGAGTATCGCTAGTTTAATCGGACGTCAGGCGGGCCGGCGATGGAGAGGTGAGACGGCTTATTGGTTTTAAAATATTGCTTTTACTTACGCCACGTGGAATGGCAGCGCAGGCCTCGAGGTAGCTTGCTTGTGTTGTCGCGGATAGCAAAAACGAGTGACGACTTAACGAGTTTACGAACGAAAAGGAACCTGCAGGATAGCGGGGTATGTCAAAAGGACCCGGTGACGGGGAGATATCGGTGGGTGATAAGTCCGCCAAGTTTCCTCGATCACGCTACAGAGTTCTCCGTGGTTACTCTGCCGCATGATCAGAGGTCTCCGACTTGGGCGGAAGTTGCATGAACTTTTATATGTCTGGAGTAGCCAATAACGGACTGAATACTAATGAGGCGGAACGTGACCAAATTTAAAAGTAACTGCGGTTATTCAGGGCAGTTCTATTGTGACAGGGGCACTCAACTCATTTGGTTATGACACTTTTGTATGAAACCCTGGAAGCATCCTATGCACCAGGATCGTGTCCTCATCACCAAGTTTGTGTATCTGTGGGGTTCTTGTCCATGGGAGAGCACATAGGGGGAACAGGGGAACCAACTTTATTATTAACAACTAACTGCCCTTAACACTGAAGCAGTGCTGAGCAGCAAACTGCACAAGATAATACAGTTCAGGCACTCCCCCACTGCTGATGGAGGGTAGAACATATATCAAACACTCAATACACAACACTCCCCCAGGTGTAGCACCCTGCATTTCTTGGCACTGAACCTCATCCTGTTAGTTTTATTCCAGCTTTCCAAACTGTTAAGGTCTTTGTTAGTTGTACTTCCAGCCTCCAACATGTTCACAATCCTTCCCAGGTCTGTGTAGTGTGCAAACTTACAAGAAGCTTTTTATCCCAGAATCATTAATAAACATGATTTTCATAGATTTCATAGACGTCAGGGCTGGAAGGGACCTCGGAAGATCATTGAGTCCAGCCCCCCGCCCAAAGGGCAGGAAGTCAGCTGGGGTCATAGGATCCCAGCAAGATAAGCATCCAGTTTCATCTTGAAGGTGTTCAATGAAGGCGCTTGAACCACCTCCGGTGGCAGGCTGTTGCAGACCTTGGGGGCTCGGACAGTAAAGAAGTTCTTCCTTATGTCCAGCCTGAAACAATCTTGAAGTAGTTTGTGACCATTCGACCTCGTCATCCCTTGGGGCGCTCTGGTGAACAAACGTTCCCCCAGATGCTGGGGGTCACCCCTGATAAACTTGTAGGTGGCCATCAGATCCCCCCTGAGCCTGCGCTTTTTCAGGCTAAAGAGCCCCAGGGCTCTCAGCCTGTCATCGTAGGGTCTGCTTCCCTGACCTCTGATCATGCGCGTGGCTCTTCTCTGGACTCTCTCAAGCTTCTCCACATCCTTTGTGAATTGTGGAGCCCAACACTGGACACAGTACTCCAGCTGCGGCCTCACTAAGGCTGAGGACAGGGGGAGAATGACGTCCCGGGATTTGCTTGAGAAGCATCTATGGATGCAAGCCAGCGTTTTGGTGGCTTTACTAGCCGCCGCATCGCATTGCAGGCTCATGTTCATCTTGATGATGAAAAGCACTGAGCCCAGGACAGACCCCTGTGGGATTTGGCTTAAAACCTCCTGCCATTCTGACATGGATCCTTTTGCTTGTGGGTATTGAGACATTTGTTCATCCACTTTACAGTAGTTTTGTCCATCCCATATTTCTCCAATATGTTTATGAAATGGACATGTGGGACCTTGTCAAAAGCCTTGCTGAAGCCCAGAAACACTATATTCACAGTTTTCCTTGTATTACATATTGGCCAAGCTGTTGTTTATTTATTACACCAGGTGATATGTGTTCCACCCTAAAAAAAACACAGCCCTTGGGCACTTGTCCACGTGACACCTCTTCCTGTTATCACTTTTTTTGTGTCCACATGACACAAATCACCATTAAACTAGCTAAATAGCATCTGTGTATCCACGATGTCAGCTGATTTTATCTGTTTAGATTTTTTTTTTTTTTGTTATTGTGGTAATTTAAAACACCTCCAACATGTTTTATTTTTAGCTCCTGAATTTCTTCCATGAGGGTTTTTTTAAATCATTTTAAATTTTCAATGTGGATCTGACTTTCATCTGAAAATGTGATTTTCCTTGCTTTCCAACTATTACACCACCAGGTGCCACTTGGGTTCACTCGGTAATCTATGGAAATCCATTGAATCTCTATTATAATACTTCAACAAAATTTCAGGTGCTAATCTTGAATTTTTTTTACTGGTGGTTTAGTTCAAGGTTCAGATTAATGAAAAATACAACTTTTTTGGATTCCAAAAAAAAATTGTTCCATGTGTTCACATGTACTTCATGGCAAAGATCAAATTATTATGGGTCAGGTAGTTCAAGACTCAGGTTAATTAAAATTACTTTTTGTTGGACTGGGTTTTTTGTTTGGCAGGCCTGGAGGGGCAGGTCAGGAGTGAGGGGGACTGGCAGGGCTGGGAAGATACGGGCAACCCAGGTGGTAAATGTTACCTGGGTGGTACTCAGAGGTACCCCCTTTCCAATTAAAGATATTTAGTAGGTGTTAGTGTGTTATTGGAGGGGTAGCTGCTTATGGGGAAGCAGCTCTCCTCCTCTCCCCTATAGAGTAGAGCTAAGACCAATTGGAATTTAACTATACATGGGTTTAATAGGACCAATTGGAACTTAATATGGGTTTAACAGGGAAAGAACAGGGTGGAATATAACACATATGCAGGAGGCAAGTGGACCCTGGAAGATAATGGTACCCCCCTTGGGGCACCCGGAGGGAGAGGAGGAAGTAGGGAGCAGAAGGGAATCAAAGGGATTTTAGGTGAACATACACATATAACAGAGACAAATCAACAACAGGCTTCAGGTGCAGGGTTCACAAAATATAAGACACAGGATTTCCCAAAATATGAGGCACGGATCCCACAGAATTTGAGGTACAGGCACCCTGGTGAGGAGGGATAAAAGAGGTGAGGAAACCCCCACAGTGGGAATTCCTTTTTGCAAGCAACACAATCCTCTGGAGCCCTGATGAGGTGTGGGTGGGCAGGGAGTGGCATCCAGAAATGGGATGGGTGGGGCGGGGACTGTGGCCCAGATTGTGGGGTGACAACAGTGCAGGGCCATTGCCCAGGACATAGCTGTGATCCTTTTCCCACACATATCTGTGACAGATACTGTTTTCCTTGGGGAGTCCTGTGGAACCAGCACCCATTGCAGGGAGGTGCAGGGAGTGGATCATGCCTCTGCCTCAGGCCATAGCCCCGCTCTGTCGCCATCTTATGATGCTGGCCCCAGCTCCACCCATCCACCCTGCTCCTGGACACTTTTCCATGTCTAACCATCTCATCTGCCTGACCAAATGTGCCCTGCCCATGGCAATGCCAGGCCAATCCCCATGGAGACCCCACTCACCCACTCCATCAGCCACCCCGAGCAGTGGTAACAGGGTGGGCCTAGGCCCAGATAGGACAAATTGGCATATCCCTGCCTTCCCTTTCCCCACTTCTTCCTTCTGCACTGCAGGAGGCCAGGTCATCTCTCAGCCCCCGGCCCTCAAGAGCTCACCAAATTTATTTAATTGGCCCTCCAGCCAAAATATTTCCACACTCCTTGCCTAGGCAAACAGAAGTTGTGCTCCTTACTACTTTCTAGGTAAGAGCGGGATGGAGGAAAGGTGATGTGAATCACACAGCAGGTACAATGCCAGACATTCAGGAGGGGAAGAGACTCTTGTCCCTGCACCACACTGTCAGGCCACAGTGGAAAGCAAAGGTCTGACCCCAAGGTCCCTGTGTGAAACTGCCCAGGCCAGAAGGGGTGAATAAATAGCTCTATGTAACCCTGCTCTGTATCTATGTTTGCAGGTTCTGGTGAGCTGAGGCTGGAGAACGGAGGCAGCCCCTGTGCTGGGAGAGTAGAGTTTAAACACCGGAATGTGTGGGGAACAATGTGTGATGATGGATAGGACATGACAGATGCTGTGGTTGTCTGTAGGCAGCTGGGATGTGGATATGCTCTCAGGGCCTATGGAGAATCTCATTTTAGAGCAGGGTCTGGAAAGATTTGGATGGATGAAACTGCCTGCAATGGTGCCGAGTCCGTTCTCTCTAAATGCAAACACAATGGATGGGGTAAGCATGACTGCAGACACAATGAGGATGCTGGTGTCATCTGTTCAGGTAAGAAAACAGCCAAATCATTCTTATGTCAGATTTATGAAAAGAAAGGGCTGGGTCTTGGGGGTGTCACAAACATTAATATGCTTTTAATATAATGGTGTGACTGGGATTTGAAGAATGTTATGCCCAAACCCCAAAATTGTTCATTTGGCCATGCCAGATGTGCATGGCTAGATGTTCAGTGTTTGGGATCAAGTAAAGAATTCCTCAAATCCCAATTGCACGAAACCTTGGTTTAGCACCTGGGGATCAGGCTGCCTAAAAATATCACTGAGCGCAGGGGAGTCTCTACAGGATCTGGCAGAGAGCTGTCCCAGGTCCTGAACTGGGTGCAGCTCCTGAAGCAGGACTTGCGGGGTTGGAGAGGGTTGCCCCCTTCCCAATATCTAGGATCAGGCACAGGGTGGCTGAATCCCAGACCCCTGCCCCTGTCTAATGCTGACAACCAGCTGATTATCATCATCTGTCACTGGGCATCTGTGAGTCTGGGACACATGCCACACATTTGATTTAAAGCTGCATGAACCCCAGCCACAAAGATATGTCTTTGTGGCTTCTTTGCCATATTATTCTGATATTCCCTGAACGTGTGGCATGTTACAATTTATCATGTGAGAAACATGTTAATTGCACAATCCCTTAAATCCTAAAGATTAATTTATTTAATAGCATTGATTTATTTACCTAAAGGTGCAGAAAGGCTTCCACTAATGTTTCCAAGAATGTTTAGCCCTGAATTCCCATGGGTTCTCATAAGTCCCATGGGTTCCTGTCACCATCTTTAGGTGCCTCAGTTGGAGAAGATAGAAGTGCAGCTGCCAGGTATAACTAATGATGCTTCACAGGAAGTGCCAAGAATTAGACCAATTCTCCTGACATTAGCTGTTGGGTCAGGAGGGCGGGGGATCGAGCTCCAACTTGGAGCTGATTCAGGGAGAGAGGCTGAACCACACCTTCTCCTAGCTCCTTTTCTGTCTCAGGATGCAAAGGGGAGAAGGCAAGAAAGGGAGGTTCGTTCTGGGGTTTCCCCAGCTGCACTGGAGTGAGGGGGTAGACTGGAACCCCCACATCGGGGGGCTCCAATCCACCCACCCCACCCTCCGGCACCAGCTGGGCAACCCCCAGAAGAAGCTTCCTCCACCCCCTTCCCTACCTCCCATTCTGAAAACAGTGCCAGGAGCAGCAGCTGAGCCCTGCTCTTGGCATGTACAGACACAAGTTAATGAAGGCACTTCACTTTGGAGCGCCTTGAGGTGTACCCTCATATAATGAGGGTTCAGATTGTCATGGGACTGGGCCCTTTTAAACTGCTGTGCAGCCATGCACTTGTGTTTGGACATGGGTGTAAAGAGCTTTCAGGGGCCAGGTCAGGCAAAAATTGTCATTTCTGTCTGTACCTACTGTCTTTTAAAACCTTGCCGTAGGTCACTTTTAAAAAAGGCATTTGGTCTCCAAAGACTAATGCTGTTGAAATGAAAGGAAGCAATTTGAATAAACATCATAAGGGTAAAGAATCACATCTGAGAAGAGATAGTGTTGGAACAAGGACCTTGGAGTTGGGTATGACTGGGGCTTGACCTTTAGAAGGGGAGGGAAACTGGTATTGGAATTTGGGACACAGGAAACTGAACAAGAAACATTTCTGTAAATGACAATGGAGATACAGAAGTACTGGCTGGTCTGCGTGACTATGACTGGGGCATAGATAAGAGGAGACTAAGCATAGGAGACTGAAATCGCAAGTCAGCAGTGAGAGCTTAAATCTCTTACCAGATTTTTGCATAATTTTGTCCAGAACATTTGCCAGGTGACTACCCTACCTTTTTTCACATCAACTCAGTTACTATTCTAAAAAATGGCACAACATGAGTTCTCTTCCAGCCTTCTGGAATACTTCTGGGATTGCAGGACCAGAAATCTCAGGAGCTACTTCATTTAGGACACTTGGATGCAGGACCTCCAAGCCTGCTTATTTAAGATGTTATCTCTTGTAGATGTTGTTTAACATCCTGCTGTGTTGCTGGTCAGTCACAGAGGTGTTTATTCCTTCCATATGATAAAACATTATCTTGCCTCTATCCAGCTATAGCACAGAAATCTTTATGGAGGACCTTTCTCATCTATGCATCATTATTATTGACTTTACCATCTGCATGTAGTGTGGGGGTACACAGTGACAGACCAGTATCTTATTACAGCTCTGCAGATGTGAATTTGAGCCCTGTCCTGGACTCAAGCCACTGTTCACTCCCAGGTGACCAAACTGTAACGGATGCATGGTCATTCCAGCTGCAGGAGTCAAAGGCAGACAAATGGAGTACTAGTCCTAATACTCCCTTACATGTTGCTTTCTACAGAAAGTAGCCACATAGGCCCCATCAAGCCATAAGATTCAGGTAGACCTTTGACTCGACCTGATGTAGGATTGGGATGGTATAACTGGAAGGATTTCCTTTATTTCTTTAATGACGCCAGAGCAGAGTTCCAGACCTAGGCAGCTTCACAGGAAGGCAGGACAATTTACCCCTGAACAGGCACCACCTGCAGCAAACCTAGAGCAGCACCCTGGTCCCAGCTGTGCTGAGTGAGACAATCAGGGTAGCCACAGACAACAGGCCTCACCTGCTTCAGCCCTTAAAAGCCATACCCAGTACACAGCTTCTTTCTCTGGGTATAAGCTAAAGTTCTTGCTTCCTGCCCCCAACCCAGGCAGACTGCAGGACACAGTCCAGTGTCAGGAACTAGGGGTCAGATGACAAGGACTAAATGGGGTAGCAATCCACATTGCAAAGTTCACAAAAACAGTATAAAACCAGGATCATGAGCCAGGAAATAGAACCAGAGGGAAACCTAAAGCTGAAATCCAGAAATAAGTTGAAAACCATGATTTGGAACCAGGAAGCTAGCCACAGCAGAACTGGCCTGCAGACCCAGGGGTCCAACTGGTATTAAATCCATAGGTGGTGCTCCCAGCAGCCAATCAGGATGCTTGCTGCTCCTAGCCTGGTGCAGATTTGATGAGTTGGGGTTTGCTAAAATGTGGCTGCTCTGATACTTCGCTTAGGCTGACCTGCCTGCTCAGAGTCCTTGACAGCACTGGGCCCAGCGCTGATCAGCATCCCTGGCAAAAGGCTCTTAGCAAAAGTCTTCTCAGGGTAGGGCACTCAGATCTAAAATGACTCATTGAAAACTCCTGCCTTTGCTAACTTTCTAGGTCATTTCCAATCCTGTCTGGTTGGAGGGAATGGAACATGCTTAGGACGTGTGGAGATAAAACGTAGATCCACGTGGGAAAATATCTGTGATTCCCACTTTGATCTCAAGGCTGCCAGTGTCCTCTGCAATCAGTTACAGTGCGGAATAGCTGTATCTACCCCAGGAGCAGCTCGCTTTGGAGAAGGACAAGGGCCCATTTGGACTGAAGAGCTCCAGTGTGTGGGGAACGAGCCTCACCTCGTGTACTGCCCCAGGACACAATACCTAGATTAATCATGTTCACATAGAAATGATGCTGGCATCATATGTTCACGTAAGTATTCAGCATCATGTCTAAAATACTATGGATGTGTGCTCTAGACTCTAGATGAGACTGCATCACTAAAAAAATACAAAATAAACTAACTACTTTGCAATAAAGTGGGGAGAGGGAAAGTTTCATTGCACATCAGCTTTTTCAACGTGTGCATACAGTTTCCTGATGATAGCGAAAGATAGTCAGTGGCAGATTACACTTCTTTCATTGTGGTCTAAGATGTCCCCATTAGTTTTCAAATAGCATAGGGTAAGTGCTGGCTCATGGACTGTTACTGTGGGGCAGCTGATCTATTATAAAAATACAACTATTTTTCCAGGGTGTTGCGTGGATCCCCTGCCCACGTCCTAACCCTGTAGGGAATAATGACTAGGATTAGCTCCTAAATCAAAAACAATCCAAGACCAGGAAAAGGAAATCAACTTCCCTCCAAGTTCTTTACCTGCTTGGTGTACAATGGCACATGGGTTATTTATCTCCTCATTTAAATACCCTCTTTCTTTTCCTCAGGATTCAGATTGGTGAACGGCAGCACACGGTGCTCAGGGAGAGTGGAGGTCCAGGTGCTCGGTGCCTGGGGCACCCTCTGCGACTCGTGCTGGGATTTATCGGATGCCCACGTTCTCTGTCGTCAGCTCAACTGCGGAGCTGCTGTGTCAGCTCCACGAGGAGGGCATTTTGGGAAAGGAACTGGCGCTGTCTGGGGTGACACATTTCACTGTATGGGGAATGAACCCCATTTGGGGCTTTGCCCTGTTACTGCCCTGGGGGCCTCTCAGTGCCCACATGACCAAGATGCCAGTGTGATTTGTTTAGGTAAGTGCAGGAACAATAAAGGGTTATTTTCGCCTGCCCCTCAGGGTATCGATACTGCCTTACAGAGAAGGGGAACCTCCAGGCTCAGCAGCGGAGGGTGAACTATATCCTAACTCAAGGATTATTCAGGAAAATACTAGTTGTGTTGCTCTTGCATAAATGAGAGTGAGGGTCAAAGTCACAGCTATTTTTCATGGAGGAATCTCCTACCCAAAACTTCCCAGTCCCCTCCCCTGTGCACTGCAGGAGGATCTTGGATCACTGACCCTTATAGCCAGGCATTCCCCCAGCTTAGCCTGATGTACTGGATCAGGGATCTATACCATGAATCACCCATGCTCTGGGGTGCTTGGTTCAGATCCTTCCTCTTCCCTCTCTAGAAGCTGTAAACCTTAAGGTGGCCTTGGTATCTTCAGGAGTTGTGGAGTGGGTCTTGATTGTGGCAGAGTGCTTCAGTTCTGGAGGAACAGCCTAGTTACTGATTTAGATAATGTTCCTGTGACAGAAGATGATTCTTGTACCCTTCTACCCAGCAGCCTACCTACTGTTACCAATCCTATCATCTGTTATTGAAGCACTCATTGTCATTGTCCCATGACTTCCTAATGGGAAGTAACTTTCCTAATGTATAGCGGTTTATTTAATTAATTCCCTACCTCTCCCAGCCCCAGCACACTCCAAACCCCTCACACTGTTAAATGGAGAGAGCCAGTGCGATGGCCAAGTCGAGATTTTCCTCAGCAGCACGTGGGGCAGAGTCCAGGCTGATCAGTGGAACATGACTGATGCCAGAGTCGTGTGCAGGCAGCTCCAGTGTGGAGAAGTGGAGAGAGCCTATCACCCCCTGACATCTGAGCAAGAGATGGACTCTGTGGGGCTGAGAAGTGTCTGGTGTGCAGGACAAGAGCCTCATCTGACACTTTGCAATACCAGCCTATCTTCAAATGTGCAGGCAGGAATTGCTGAGGACATTGGTGTTGTTTGTTCAGGTAATTTCCCTTGAAAATCCTACAAACATGCTCTACCTGTGTGGGAGGAATGTGACCATCCCAGGGACTGCAACCCCCCCCCCCCCCCCCCACTCTCGCTGAAATATTATTTCCAATGGTTACAAACAGGTGTGGGTCCCAGGCCAGATTCCGACATATGTACAGTGAACTCTTATTTATTATGTTTGAGAAAAGACATAACCACTTTTTTGTAATACTAGTGCAGGGCAGCAGCCCCTCCCCTCATTATGCCATTGTAGGATTTCAATCTTCTAACTTATAAGTTTGCCTCATTTAAAAGAAAGAATTATTGATTCAGTGATGGTGTATTTTTGTTGTTATTCATTTATTTTTCTTTTTTCCTAATAGTAGAATTATGCCCTTATTTTCTGGTAGCTTTGTTTATTAAAGTTCAACAACAGGATCAACCAAAGGTCTATATGGGACCCTGCAGTAATGAAATGTCTTGGTGTGTCTCTACCTCATGCATAGTAGTGTTCCTACACCAACCTCCTTTTCATGCACATTTCAACAGCAGCATGAGCAGAGGACAGTAAGAGTCTATCTTTTTTTTCCATGATGGTATGGAAAGAGCTAGTCCTGACTTCAGAGTGAGTAGAACTGGACCCCATCCCTCTAGTATACACTCTAGAGACTCTGCCAAAATACCATACTGACAAAGTCCCTAGCAGAGATGTAGCTTTCATGGGCAAATGCTTCATGGTCAATTCAGTTAGAGCACATCCCTGAATAACACAGCCTGTTGGAGACAAGGACTCTTTTGCCTGTACCATTTGCATTTACATCAGGAATGTTGCCAGCACAGCTATGCTGAGCCTTTGCCGGGTATGGCATTTAGTCAAACTCTTAGTCAAGGTAACTATGATGGCAAAAGTATATAAGAGGCTCTTCAGGGGAGTGAAAGGGACTATCTGGTGAACACAAGCCTCACCTTCTTTCTTGCTTTAGACTGCAAGAAAAACAAGACTAAAAACCAAAAATGAAACCGTGTGTGCTTTCATTACTAAGCTGGCACCTCTCAGTCCTGCCACAGTATAAAAAAGTTCTCATTTCCATTAATTTGTTGCCTATTAGTAAAGTTGTAAGAAGTGAGAGTCCTGGGCAGTATGCATTTGTATGGTGCAAGAGCTTGACCAAAGTCCACCTTATGCTGTGATTTCACCACATAACAAACTGACATGCATCCCAAGCTCAGGCTTTGGAAATATCATGGGGAAATAGCAATGTTATATAAAAGAAGCCCTGAATATCTGGAGAGAAGCATGAATGAGCTGCAGCAGGATCCTTCACTATTACTTTACTTTAAAAAATCAACTTTTTCATTAAAATGTGTATCTTGTGAAAAAAATATTAGAACCCAGCCACTGAGCCATGAAGAGTTGGCTGCCAGGTCATGGCATGAGCCCCCTGCTCAGACCCTGGTCCTCCCAGGCAAGCGGCTTCCACTACTGTCAGTCACATGAGAGGTTAAAGCTGGGTGGTGGAGCAGCCCTGGGATGGAGGCAGTTGACTTTGTCAACTTTGCCCCATCCTGCTCCTGTGCTGGTCCACAGTATAAAAAAGTTTGGGAACCACTGTACTAGAACATTTTAATATTTTCCAGAGAAATATGTTTCCGTTGGAAACATTCAGGGTTTTGGGTTTTTTTCTCTTTAAAGACCTCCCCCCTCTCATATTGAAAATATTTTAAAAAGCAAATGTTTCCACTTTTGTGTGAAAAGAACAAATGTTTCCAGAATATTTCTAAAGTGTATAATGGCTTCTGAATCTGAAAGATATAAACAATGTACTATCCAGAATCTGAAGGTAGTAATAGAGCAAGGAAGTCTTGTGCAATCCATTTCAATCAAAAGTAGCAAGAATAGCATCTTTTATCTTACAGGTCTAAACAAAATAGTTTAAAAAATGTGACATAGTTATGCCCTATGAATATTTTAAATGGGCTAGTCTTACCATGGGACTTGCAATTAGTATTGATTAGATTATCTGTTACAAAACTCCCTTCCCACCCCCACCCCGCACCTTGGCTGATATGTATGTGTTCCTTCCTTTAAGACTCCACAGAGAAAATATGCAAAGACAAGATCATAGGTATCATTGTAGCAACAGATTTTTTTGTTTGTTTTTTGTTTTTTGGTTTTTGTTTGGTTTTTTTTTTATCAGGCCCTGTACATTCCTTTGCTGACATAATTTTCCATGTATATGTCAATCTCAGAGTAGCTGGAGTTCAGTGGAGTCTTCTCCTGCTCTCATTATATCAGTGGAAGATTTGCTTTTTCCTTGATACAGCACATTTAAATGTGCAATTATTGTGGTCCAATAAACTATGGAGCTTATTGCTCTGGAGTTTTTCGCTTCTGGGTGCACCATTTGAACATGCATCCAGGAGCAAAAAACTCTAGGGCAGATTCCTCCAGTGTTTATTTGTGCACACCACATTGAACCCAGTCACAGGATCACATTTCATTTTCAGTGTAAAATAAGGGCCTTGTTACACATTAATTTTTGGTCGCTCCTGGAGCTCTAAACCTCTGGATTGTCCACACATTAACACCTGAAAATAATTGCAAGCACACTTTAAGCCTCTTAAAGTTATGCCACTGCAAAGCAGGCTTTTCTCTAATCTGTGTTACCTAGCTTCTTTTCCATCAGTGTGTGGCTACTTCCTCACAGCTGACCTGCCAAATTGCAGTCCTCCATCATCCCCTCTCTCACCGTCTTGCTCTGTGTGGGGAACTTTCCATCCCTTTAACTCTACTGCCAGGTAGGTCTGGCACCAAGTTAACTCCCTTCCCGCCCCTGGGGATGCAACCTTCCCACACTCAGGGGTGCAACCCCATGCAAACACCCTGCAGAGCATGTGCAAGCTAACCAGGTCATAGGGTATGGAGGGGTCCAGAAGTGGCATCTAGGGGTTCTGGGGGGACAATAAGTTGGGGGGGCAGTTGAGTCCCATGAGCTGAAGCTTCCTTCCTGGGGAAGGGGCAGTATCTTCTACAAAAATACCTTCCCCCAGTGCTCCCACCTCCTAGCCACCCTGAGAAGCATGACCAGCATACCTCAATCCCAAATCCCGATTTATTTAAAACATGGAATCTTCTTTAATTTACTTTCACTTTATTTCTTTTTTCATTCTATTTTTGCTTGTTTTTTTTTTCCCTATTTTATCCTACAGTGTCTGATTTCCTTTCATTCCCCACCCCTTCCCCACCCCTACCCCTACCCTCATTTCCTTACCACCTTCCATTTCATTACCCACCCCCATCCCATTAACTAGCACTGACACCAATCGACATTCAAGCAGTTCAAAGTGCACCCTATAGCAAGGCCCAAAATCAATTCAAGGAAAGACCTTGTTGTTGTCGGAGGCTCGTAATATCCCAAACTAATAATAAATTCCCAGGACACCGTTGATGATTGTCATCTAAAAAAAAACATTTGAAAGTCCTCAGATTTTCAAAGATCAGATGGCTCATCAAATGTTTAATCCCCTGGTTAATTGTAGCCAAATATATATGTCCCAACAAGATTACTGCACTGAGGAAGAAATTCAGGAGTAGGTCTGAAATGAATGGCTCCATCATTTCCGTAGTCTAAAGGTTTTCTGCATCCTTTCTCTTATTTCCATTAAAAAAATCTTTAAAAGCATTTTAGTGTTTCAGCCCATGAAGCATCAACACTTATTTAGAGGAAAGCTTTCAGTTACCATCACATTCACTGTTAACAGCTGGACTTCCTTCCTATAGGAAGCAGGCAGCTCAGATTGGTAAATGGGACAGGTCGCTGTGCTGGAAGAGTGGAGATTTACTACCAGGGCATCTGGGGGACAGTGTGTGATGATTCCTGGGACCAAACAAACTCCAACGTGGTTTGCAAACAACTGGGATGTGGACACGCCATCAAGGCAGCTGCTTCTGCTTATTATGGGGAAGGCTCAGGACAGATCTGGCTGGATGATGTGAACTGCTCTGGGAATGAATCCGAGCTCTGGGAGTGCCCTTCCAGGGGCTGGGGGCAGCACAACTGCAGGCAAAAGGAGGATGCAGGAGTGCTCTGCTCAGGTCTGTTCTCTGACTGCTTTTGTGAGCCTGGGTACCATGGATTTAAGGGAGGGGGCTCATGTTTGATCAGGGGGATGAGAAACTTCAGGATTCACCATGGATTTCTCTGTCTATCTCCTTGGAGCTTATATACTGTCAGCAGCTCCTTGATACAAGAATGACAGTTTTCCAGTAAATTGGCCAGTCACAGGACCTTGTTTCACTGGAGACTTATAATGCGTTTTATTTAGATCATAATAAGCCAGGGTTTGAACTATGGGGGGATTTGAGGGGGCTGACCCTCCACATTAGAGATGAGAGCCCTCAGCCCACTTCGTGCCTTTCTAACCAGCTCAGGTGGTGGTGGCAGTGGTGGTGGCTCCTTCCGGCTGCCACTGCTGCAGACCCCCGCAGGAGCTGGCATGTAATTTGAACCCTGTAGTAGGCATTACTACAAGCTGGAAGGTGTTCTAGGCATGGTAATGCTGACTACAATCTCCCAACCCACTGGTTCATAGGGAGCTCTCCCAAGGCAGGGCTCTACCCCCATGTGGCCAGTGAAGGAAAGCTGAGAGTTGGTCTCAGCCCCAGGAATGCATCCAAAGTCTCCCTTGTGGTCTAAGGGTTGAGATCAACAACCAGTGGATTGTGAGTCCTAGCTGCAGAACCACAGATTGTTGTCACAACCCAAGGGTGTGATTTTGTGTGTGCGCGCTTCGGCACTGCTAAATTATTTCCCGCCACGAGGAGCTTTCTTTGCAGGGTGCATTTCTCAGTTGAAAAGAGAGAACCCCGGTGCAAAGAAGTTCCCGCCACCCGCATGCAAATTTGTGTCCCACTATTGGCCAGTTCTAAATTATTCCCACGTGGCAGCTAGCGATTGGCTTGCTAGCCATATAAGAGGCTTGAGCGG